AAAGCAGAACCCAATCAGAATTATCACTCATAGTAAGCAGTATGTAATAGTATATACCAATACATACTGCTTACTATGAGTGAGTTCTGATTTGCTTCTGCTTTTCTGTTTTTCTGCTAAGGTGTGAAGCCGGCCTTAGAGTACAAACACTTACATAACATTTTTTTTTTTATGATAATAACCTTACTGTATTAGATATGTTACTCTATAGACTATTGAAAGTTATGTATATTCTATAGCGTACGTGTATATTTTATACTAAATATGTAATTGTTACATTTTTATACTCTTCTACGACTGTGATAATGCATCAGAGTACAAAACAGTTTTGAAAGAAACTGAAATTTAAGACTGTATAAAAATATGTTTAAAATAAACTTTAATACGTATAAATGTTACAAGATTATTGCCCGTATTTATATATATAATTTATTAATTATATAATTTTGTTTGCTATATTTGCCATTGCCAGGGTACAGCTCCTTCGGTCATAAAATAGTCGGCAAATCGATCTCTGATCTCAGATGCTTGTTTTGAATAATTAGTTGCACGGGCACCATGATAATCCTCAATTGCACCTGCTAGTGGTATATTTTCTCGCCACGCACCGTTCGCTATGATACCATGACAATCCATATGATCTGCAAAGTTGTTGTTACAGTAGCAATCTCTTGTCATCATAAAATTGTGCAGGCAAACAGTAGCTTGTACAATTGATTCGGTTGTAGCTAGTGATGTGTTCATAGGCTTATGGTAGATTCTCCATCGTGCTGTCATGATACCGAATGCATTCTCAACTACTCTTCGTGCCCTGGACAATCTGTAGTTGAAAATTCGTTTTTCTGGAGTAATGTTTCGTCCTGGGTACGGCCTCATAGTAAAGGTGTTCAGCTGAAAAGCTTCATCTCCGACGATTACATATGGAAGTGCGTACGAGTGTGCTGGGTCAATAATATTTGGAGAAGGCAAGTTCATTAGGCCTGCACTAAATCGACGACCTATTTCGGAGTTTTTAAATACACCTCCATCACTATGACGACCTTGAGCTCCTATATCCACCATCAGAAACTTATAATCTCCCGATACCAAGGCCATGAGAACGATGCTGTGCTGTCCTTTGTAGTTGTAAAATGTTGATCCAGATTTCGCTGGAGCCTTAAAAGGTAAAAATTTTATTATCTATAAAATATTTGTAAATGTGTTAACTCGTGAAATTTTTCAGTTATTCAGCTATCAAAAACAGTGCTCCAATTTGTAAATTCCCGAAAATTAAATTAATTTATACCAATTATCTAATTAATTCACACCAATATATAATTTTGTTTTTATGTCAGATATAATAAATAAATTTAAATGGCAAAATAAAAACTGGAATTTAAGCTAGGTAAGGATAGCTCTAACACACGTTCCTTCAAATATTTATTTTTGAAATATTTATTTTATTTTTTTTTACTTAAAATATTTTGAATGAGAATATAAATTTGGGATATAAAAGTTAAACATAATTTTCATAAGGGCAATTAATTTTAATACGTCTCAATGTAACATCTTGACTCATATTGCTTATGAAGAAATATACTTA